CAAATAATTAATCACGGTCCGACACGCAGAGTAGACAATGTTTTATATTACATTTTCTGCCTTAATTCCATCTTGGTAACTTTAGTAATCTGTTTACATCTTCCAGCGATGAAATATGTTCCAATGTCGCATATTATATGTATAAGTAATATAATTATTATGTAGAAGCGCGGCGCTCTATAAAAAACTAGTATAAATGGTAGAAGTACACATATTGTAGTAGAGCTCCTTGTAAAAGAGTTCGTCCAGGGAAGTACCGCCATCTAACCTATTTCTGCTGCCAAGAAGTAATGTGAGCTTACTGCGTTTCGGTTTTAAAGGGTAAGGGTAATAGTGAAAGTACAGGCACATGGGATTTGTCAATTTATGACTGAGGTTCACGGGCGCAATGGCAGTGCTCCTTAGGTCTTTGTGATTTAAATCTCTGAGTGGCACTGCAACTGTTGTGGACAGGCCTGTCGCTTACCATCAGGTGCACGACTTGTTCGTCTAGTTACTTGGTATCATAAAAAAGAGATATAGAAATATTTCAGAACATAGACATAAAAATTCATAGAAAAATATCAAAAATATACCGACCATTGCGCGATTGGGGCTATGTCTGAACCTCTTTTTATGTTAATAAGTAACATGAAAAAAGGTTCTGTAACTACAGTAATGATATTATTACAGATGAAGTAACAGATCTGACGAATATGACGCAGTATTTAAATTACACCTTATATTTAGTTTATTTGATTTAAATTATTCTAAAACGTAATGTTTTAATTCTTATTATAAAATTTAAAACTAATATTTAAATATTAATAACTGTAATATTATACGCCTGAAACATGTACATTGATACACAAGTTAGCTGAAAAAAATGTGTAAAGCCTACTATGGAACAAAGTTTTAGAATAATTGAGGCTATCAGCGCAATACTTACTTACGAGTCGATACAACCTCAAATGGCTTTGGTTGATTCCGCATAACAGTGAAAGTGTTGAATCAATCACTTTGGAAACAATATGTAATAAAATTGAGGATATACACTGATTACTATACGGTGTGAAAACACAATTCCTAAAAATTTTCACGATAGAAATAAAAAAAAAACTCACCTCGAAATTTTACAAGAAAAACGTTGTATTTAATAATACTTTACGTATACCAATGATTTTTTTTATATCAACTGAACTAAATAGAACAGGTTACTATACGATATACATTTGTAAAAAAATGAATTCTGAAATAAAGCCAGAGTCCCTGTCTCGCGATCTAAGCAAAATGAACCGTATTAGTACGGGAAAAATTTGAATTCCAGCTAAGGTAGTATAGACTCTTAACTTACTACTTCATTATTTAAATGAGACTAAAGTACATAATTATAATATATTTGGATGGTGGATCATGTACAAAAAAATTACAATTACATATTAGTCATATATGAGTACTATACATACAATGAATTTGACAAATTTTTGATCACTCATTATTTTTCATATGCATATCATTGGGTTACACCACTTTTGCGCTGATAGCCTTAAGTAATCAATTAGTTGAAAATTTATATTTTTTTAGTGCAGCAACCCCGAACTAAATAAATTTTCTGCATTTCACTTCCTGATCGATTCGGCAAAGTATCAATAACTCCCGCGACACTGTCTGACATCCTGATCGCTAATAAATATCAGATGGGACCGTAAATGGCTTTTATTCGGTGTGACATTGACAAGGATAGTTCTCCAAACAAGGTAAGTGCCATCACATTACATTTACTCGACCGTGACAAAGGAGTTTCATACTTATAGTCAGTTAATGGTTAATGTTGTATATAATAAAATTTGATTGTTGCTGCGTCAGCCGCAACTGCCCTTTTCCTATTACATGGGATCGGCACAGGGAAATTTGTTAACAATACAAATTTATTCTTCCAAATTAAAATTTATTTTAAAAGTATTTATATCTTAGGGAATGAAACTATTTTTCCGGATTTAAATTGCGTATATTTGTTTTTTCGAACAAACCGACGTTTCCGACCCTTTACAGGCCCTATGGTCACGGTTGACTGAAAATTATATTTGTTTGAAAAAACAAATATACGCGATTTAAATCCGGAAAAATAGTTTCATTTCCTATGTATAACAATCGCGAAAACCTAAGAACTAGATATTTATATGTTTGTAGATATGTAGGTTATAAAAGTGTCAGAATAATTAGAAGCAGTAGAGCTCTTTGTGAAAGAGTTCGTCCAGGGAAGTACTGCCATCTTAACTATTTCTGCCGCTACTACTACAAGCACACGGAACTTGTCAACTTATGACTCAGGGTGACGGGCGCAGTGGCAGTGTCCCTCAAATCTTGGGGATTTCAAGATCTGAACAGTATTGCAACTGTTATGGGTAGGCGTGTCGCTTTCCACCAGTCGCACGACCTATTCCAGGATCCAGGATCGCTTGTAATCCCTCTTGCGGCATATAAGTTTTCATAATTTTATGTGGATTCAAATGTAATAATTTGTACACTATATTCATTCGTGCAGTAAAATGAAATAACATCAGTCATAAAAATGTAAATAAACATATGAATCTATGTTAGAATAAACCTAACATAGATTCATACGTTTAATTCCTAATTCCAGTCTGCAACTTTTTGCAAACCATTACATCCCGTCCATCACAATCAGCTATCATGCCATTCTTCAACCTCTTCACGTATTAGATTGTGGTTGCGTATTTATTATACTTTTATCGATCCGATATGTTTCATCTATTGAACATTGATCTCCTTTGAGTAGGATTACGTCATATTCTGGTTCATTGTACGCGGGGAGTTTTATGAATCCGAAGAGTTTAGTGATCCTTCATGTCAGACATACAAGTTTCTTAACAATAATTTCATTCTCTTCTATGTTGTAATACGCTTGGCAAGGGCCTACTCAAAAGTTTTCTTATTATTTATTCATATTTTGTAATAGGTACCTATAATAACGCAATCTACGTCAAAGTTAAATGTGAAGTGAGAATTTGTTATTTGTCAGTGGATAAATTGAAAATCGCGACCTAATCGCATATAAAACATATTTATGTGCGACATCAAGTATCGCCCGACAAGTCGCCAGATATCGTGAATGTTGTGTGTCAGTCGATTGATAATCTTAGTGCACAAATAAATAATGAAGAATAAGAGCGGGTAGTTAGGAAAACTCGCACGGCTAGTAAATGTTGACATCCGCCTCTTCAGTCTCGTTGAGACCATGGACGTTGCAACACGTCCGAAATGACGAGGTGAATAAAATATCTTTTATACACGATTAATTCGCGATTTTAAAATCTAATAATACATACTTTTTGTTAGAAACACGTTTGTCACAGATTTTCTTACTGCGTTCAAAAACCTACTATTAATCTCTAAACCGCAGATAACAAGATGTGTCTAGTCATTTTACCCGAATTAACACCTATATTTATTTGTCGACAGTACGATACGACGTTTTACTTATGAAATTCATACCCGATCTGCGGACGTGTGGCCAAACACGTATCTTCCATTACTGGGACAGGTAGTGATTGGCGTCGGTTGACGGGTTGCCGTACGGATAGGCGCCCGATACCCGAAATATGAGCCCCAAATGGAGTAGAAGAACAGACTGTTGACGGTTTGAATAGGTTTGTGAGAATACTGAAAAGTGACGTATTATCAATTTTCAGATTGATGTAAGTTTACTTTATGTATTCTAGATATAATAAAAGATTTTAATGTAGAAACAGAAACTATAATATACTTTTTCGTCTTTTCTTATACTTCAAAATAATTAACGCATCTTTACAAAAAGAAAAATCACTTAGCTCATCTTTAAAGGTCGAATAACCAGATAGGTTTGAACCTTATTAATCCTGCAAATTGCAACATTCGAGCGGAGATTATTTCCAAATAACTTCCTTAATTCTGCACTAACTCCACTGTCTTCAAGCAAAATCTTCAATTGAATGAAATGAAAGTAAAATTGAACGTGGGTAAGTAATTATTCCATTCCTTGAGTTTAAGAACAGTTAAAACGAAAGTAGCGTGCGCTGGCGCGTTTAATCTTGTCAATTATCCAGAAAATTGGAAGAGGACTCGACTTAACTTCCTAAAGCTTTATCGCTTCGAATGAAGAGGAACTTATGTTCGATTAAGAAAGGTCGTGAGATCGAATAAGACTTCCTTAGATGACCCTTTAAGCCGATGAGCTTGGTAAGCGGATTGTTTGTAACAATAAAAGGTATATTTTAGACTTAATAGTCTATAACTACAAGTTTTGATGTCAAGATGTTTCACCACCATGATATTCAATTATTTTTTGTGAAATGACTACACTAGTTTGTTATAAAGATCGAACACCAAGAAAAATTCCTTCGAACAGGCTGGACTAACCAACGTCTTGTAGCAAACCGTGCCAGACGCTATGCCAGCTAAGCAACGGAACGAACCAGCGGACCTTACGAATTTTCCTGTTTCTTGCAGATCTCTGTTTTGGTGTTTAACTACTTTTTGCCGTAGCGCCATCTGTGAGAAATCTATTTGTATAACAATTACACCACTAAATTGAAGTTTCAGAGAATCATTCTTTTGTAAAAACTTACATTTTGGCGTAGGGTCATTATCTCTACTATGTCTAGTTATGAGCCTTGCTTGACGATAATGAGTTAACATCGATTTTTACACATACATGCATATCATTACGCCTGTCTCTCACCGGGGTAGGCAGTGACTATGTACTTCCTGCTGCGCTCTTGACAAACCTCATTCGCCTCCTCCACTCCCATCAGTCTCTTCATACATGTCCGTTTATTCTTGGTACTTTTAACTCGGTCTTTTTTAAGAGAGAGGTGGACCTCGGCGTACATGTCTCAGTCAGATTGGGAGGACATCCTCGATTTTTAATGGTGGTAAACATTCACGAAAATTGTAAGCTTTTATCAGATAATGGAATCACCGCGTCTAATGTATATTCACAATCGTAGGTACTTGCTTACCTGAACAGGCTTGCGGTGGTAACGGAAAGATAAGAGTGGTGGAAGACTTGCGCCTGGCGACTGCGCAGCCCAGCGACTGCGGTTTGAAGCTGCGCAGCTGCTGCATGAAGTCGCTGCACTCCATCAGCGCGACGTCCGCGAAGTGCAGGTCGCACAGGATCTGGTTCTTGAAGCGGCGGGCGCGTTTCTGTATACAAATTTTATCTTAAGTGGCTAGAGTAGGGTACGAGCTAGTATGAGATATGATTACTGTGGTTATCGGTGAAAACGACGAAAAGACCGTTTACACGGTCGGGTATCACAATGTGTAAACTTGCACAAGTCGTTTAAAGTAAAATGATACATGGCACACAGGCACACTTAGGTACAAACACGTACTTGGTTTGAGTTTACTTACGTTTAAGCTCGGTCGCATAACCATGCCTAAATGGGCTAAACCAGGTCTCCCCGTGGCACTATTCGATTTTAACCGGAATGCAATCACCGACCCGAATTCGTTATTGGAAATTTATATCTATTGCATTATGATTTACTATTATAATTTGAGCCAAACGAGCTCATAAGAACAAAATACTCTTATTGGCAACAATTGCCTATCTCTTAGTTGATGTATCCCTTCTTAGAAAATCGGGTAGGTATGAAGGTGCAACTTTTTACTACTATCTTTTGCAAGACGCATGCCAAACTCTTGCAAACGTACCATTTTCCCTTAAACGATTCGCATGTGCAATGTACATAAACGCGTTACTAGATTGTGTTTGTGTTCATATTAGGTATATCTTGATCGTGTAGACGGTTTTTTAGTAGCTTTCTGCGACGAAATGACGTGAGCTTCTTAATAATCCTGGAGATATGAATAAAGAATTTATTAAGAAATTATATACTTCATAATATTATTACACGCCTTTAAACTTTCGTAATTCGTATTTTCCTATGCGTGAGAGTTGTGTAGGCGGTGTTGGATCCTATTGTGGATATATATATATTAATACAACTCAATAAAATACAGTAGACCTGTGCCTCTACCATGAGATTACAGTGACAGTTATCGCTGGCGATCGCGTAAAATGTTTGTATACAAAATGTTGTTCTTCTTGTGACCGCTAGAGACGCTGTATAATTTGCCATACAAAATTGTGAAGTAATTTACCCGGGCGCTAGAGACAACTGTCACAGTGAACTTGTGGTAGAGGCACTGATCTAGAAACTAACAGCCGTCGTTTGTCCGTATTCAGTTTAAATATAATTTCAAAATTACTCTGATTTAAAATAATCTGCAAACGTAGGTTGGTAGAATTTTCATTATTGTTAAAAAGCAACTTTAATTGAAATCATGTGCAGATAGAGTTCAACTACTTTAGTAGCAGTAGAGATCCTTGTGAAAGAGTTCATCCAGCGTAGTACTGCCACCTTACATTTTTCTGCCGCCAAGCAGTAACGTCAGCATAACTGTATTCCGCTTTTGAAGGGTAAGGGTGCTGGTGAAATTACAGGCATATGGGACTTGTCAAGTTATGTCTTAGGGTGAAGGGCGCAGTGGCAATGCCCCTCAGAACTTTGCGACTAAAGCTCTGAGTGGTACTGCAACTATTATGGATAGGCGTCTAGCTTACCATGAGGCGCACGTCTTGTTTGTCCCGTCACTTGATTTTATATAAAAAAAAGAAAAAGAAAAAACTACATTTTATTTTTCTAAAACATGAAATCCTAGAAAGATAGCGTTTTGGTTGTGCAGATCGACAAAAGGCACTTGCTGCGTCATTGTATGATTGCGTCGCGTGCCAAGAGTCCGTCTCGCTAGCTTATTCGAAAGAACATAGTGTAGCCTAACAAGCACGCTAAAAGACAGCGTAATTTGGTGGCGAATGGTGACAATAATAAAACTGTATGAAAAAATCTTTCGCAAACCTCAATTATCTGTACAATCAATTGATTTTCGTTGACTTGTGTAACAACTTTTGTGTAAATTTCAGAAGGTAAAAAGCAATTTACTAGTAAAAGCAACTTATACATATAATCATATTAGCATTAATACCAATAATCCAGATGTATTTGACGATTCCTTGTCTAAATTCCGGAGGTCTATCACGTCATCGCGACCTATTTTTTAACCTACTTCAAAAAAGGAGGAGGTTCTCAATTCGTCTGTATGTTTTTTTTTGTATGTATGTTACTCAATAACTCTGCCATTTGTGAACCAATTTTGATTTTTTTTTTGTTAGAAAGATGGTACCTCAGATGTGGTTCCATTCAAATTTTAAGAAAAATTCCACGTCTAAGAGTAGCAAACTAGGGGATGAATGACTTTTGAGGTCGGTTTCTTTAATCGGAGGTTAGGTTATCTCTTTTTTTTTAACTTATGCAAGCTTTAGGCACAGAATAATATATAGTGCTACACTTTAGGTTTATTTATTTTGTTTCTTTATGTTTACTATCGAAATGTATCCATAAATACGAGTCAAGTACATATCCATCACGTACTACTTAATTGTGTCCAATAGTTTACTTGTTGTAACAATTGGACATAGTCATGCAAACTAGAACCAACCCACAAAATGTCACTATCGAGATAATTAGATTTTTATGAAAACAGTATGAAGAAATAAATAGGTAAGTTATTTGAGACAAACGTGAGTTATGTATATCATTGAGAATGATATAGGGAAACTATTGTATTTTATAGCAATAAACAAAAGACATTATGTATCTTTTTATTTACTTAACGAGAACCATGTTCTAGTTTCCGTAATGAAAATGCTAAAGATCTACAGTACTTCAGTACTAGTGACATGGATCCATTTAGCGTATTTTAAAAAATACATTATATTTAGTTAAGAAGGATGGTACTTTTTAGCTATTAAAAAGTTACTTATTTAGGGTTGGTACCCTGAAGGACTTTTATTTTCTCCGTTTTGGCTTGGTATACTTCCAGGATCCTTTGTGAGCAGGTAAAGGACACGACTGTTGTTCTACCTAAATACATAACTCAATTTTACTCGAGGTGTGGGTTGGTTCTTGTTTGCATAACTATGTCCAATTGTTGATTAAACTTAATAAATAAATGAATAAAAAGAGAAATGTAATGCGTCTTTTCAAATACTTGTAGGCATCTGAATTCTTGAATAATTAATAACTCTGCTTTGAAGAAATGTTCTCGATTAGGATACTTTTTCTGAGTGCTTAAGATTATCAAACAAGCACAAACGGCTACCTAATACAATAAACGTCATGACTATGACTATTGGTAAATATGTTTTCAGAATTTCGCTATTCATTTGGACCACGCGCCGTCTTCTCTACTATATTTTACCTAAGCGACAGACATGGCATCCGTGTGACCTTAACTCTACTCCAATGCGTTTAGTGCTACGCTGCTTTATACTCCTATATTCAGAACGTGCCACAGTTGTATTTTGAATAAGACACCTAGGTTTCTATTACTTAATTAAAATATTCATGTAATAACATGGGATATAGACACTATGACAGAGTCGTCGGTTTTGATCATCAGATACTCGTATGACTCAGGTTTTTAAATCATCTTTCAGATCCATTATGTTCTTGAGAGTTTAGAAAGACATGTGTGAACTTTAGACGTTTATTGTCAAGTATGCACTTTGAAAACTCAAAATATTTGCGTCTCACATAATTTTTTATACTTCAAGTTACACTATTAGTTTTCTTATTTAATTGGATTAAATACCACGATATTTTTACTACCATGATGTTTATACATTTTTTGTGAAGATCTCTCCTCTAATTTGGTGTTATTATTGATGCAAAGATGGAACAAACGTAAATAAAAATTCCTTCGATCCGATCAGACCGGGACTAATAGCTCTCCCAACTGAGTTACAGAACGAAATAACAGACCTCACGAATTACTCTGTGTGCTTGTTGCCGATCTCTGATTTTGGTTTAAACGACCTTTTCGCCGGAGCGCTATCTGTGAGAGTATTTATATGGTCTGTGGTCCTGCCGGATCCAAGGGTTTTTTTTGTGTTTGTTCGATCTTTGTATGAATAATAACACCATACTATTATTCTTTTTTAGTAAACTTTATTGACTAAATTCGCGTTGACACCAGGGGAAGAAAAACAAAATTTGCTTTGGAATTTTGTGGAAGATATGTAAGTGCTACCTTAAGCTTTAGTAAGGTTAAAAACTCTACCTAGTTGAGGAGAAGCAATTCATTCTTTTTCTATATTTATTTGTGCATTTCTATTTTTATTCGTATTTGTTATAATTATTCGTCAGCTGTCATGTTTGAGAAACGATTCTAATAATATTATTTCGACAAGGAAAAGTTGTCTTCTGCCTTTTAAGCACTTTTACTTGGTACTTGTTTTATTATACTTTTATCCTACATCATTCCTCATTTATTTTTATTTATTTACTCTTTCACTACATATACACAATACATGAATAGTAAATAAATTCACATTCCGCACTGACTTTTTTATGATACTAAGTGATGAGACGAACAATTCGTACGCCTGATGGTAAACGCCACGCCTGTTCATAACAGTTGCAGTGCCACTCAAAACTTTAAATCGCAAAGATCTGAGGTGCACTGCCTCTGCGCCCATCTTACCCTGAGACACAAGTTGAAAGTTCCATGTGCCTGTAATTTCACCAGCACCCTTCCCTTCAAAACCGGAACGGTCTGCATTCAATAAATTACATTCATTTGGTTTTTTATTTAAAATAATATTAAACGTCTCATAAAATGGTTTTGCATCAGATCTTATGTTTATTATATAATTACGAGCATAAACAATATTCATGTTCGCGTTTTTAATATTACAGCGTTTTTGAACTAAAATAAATCTATTGTAAAAATATATTGGAACATTGAATACGAATAAACTTATTTTGAACAAAAGAGGCTCAACGCTTAGAATAATAACGCATACAATGATAGTTTCATATCAAACGAACTGTCACAAGTGAGGCAAAAATCAAATTCATGTAGGCTAGTTTTAGTAGTAGGTTAATTTTCGGTTTTAGTGAATCTTTATATAAAAATACAAGCTGAAACGCGTTTCTTCCTTGTGGAATGTCATGTTAGTATCTATTTTATGTTTGTCTGACGTATTTTTACACTCATTTACTGCACATTTCGTCATTTTTAGCTAAAATTCTGGAGCTGTTCGCGGTGCAAGTTGACCTTGAGCACTGAAGGCC